CGAACAGCAAATCGTCACCTCGGGGCTCGGGCCGAGCGGGGAGGCGTCCGGAGCACAGCGGAGGGCTCCAAGCTTTAGAAACCCATTTCTGGTTTATTTTAGGCTGTTTCTCCAGGCTCTTCTGTACCTTTTGTGGCCTCTTTCTGCTTATGTTGTCTGTAACGTCTGGAGAAAGGGAATTTGGGAACCTCTCTGGGCCTGCTCTTTGCAACCCAGCAGGCGAATCCCCTCGGGGCCAGCAAGGGGCCTGAGCTGCAGATACTCCTGTCCTGCCGCTTCCCGCTCGCAGGGAACGCGGCGGAGCCGGGAACGCCGCGGAGCCGGGAACGCCGCGGAGCCGGGAACGCGGCACCGGCAGAAAAGGCCCTTTGCTGACCTGCTAATCCAACTTCCGAGCTAACACAGAACTCCTCCTTGCTGCAGCTTTGCCAGCTAAGCCTATTAAGTGGTCAGAGCATATATTAAACAGTCGGGGGATGTGCATGGTATCATTAAAGATATCAGATTATAAATGCGTTTGTGGTAGTGGTTTATGATTTTAAGAGTGAGTCTGGTTTGCCGAAGGCAATGCATGAAAATAACAATTTTCTTTATTAATATTGCAATCCCCTCCTCCTGTGTGTTTGCACTTGAAAGAACCGGCGTCCCAGGAGAAGGGAAGTTGCGATGGCTCTTCAAGGACCCTCCTAAGTAGCTGAGTTAGTTTAGATAGATATCTTTTTTTTGTCTTAGTATTTAAATTAATTGGAGCAGGTAAATGCTGAGTTGATGCAATTAGGGCTCTTGGTATTAAAGAATTAACAACATCGATCCAGCACTGGGTTGCTAAATTCCCCACTCTGTTTGCTACGGTGGGTGCTGCTAATTTCATTTAAGAAAATTAATAGAAATGAATTGGACTACTGACACTCAGAGTCCGCTTAGCAATTCATTGAACAGTGATTCCTCAGCTCGTGGTGTGTAGCATTTTCTCAGGAAGCTCTGGGAAGCGCTGGCCTGTGTTCCGGGTAGGAGGGTGTTTGTGGGCGCTGCAGCCGGGGCTGGCGGCCCCGCGCGGAGGGTCCGTTCCGCGTTCCCGGCTGCCTGGGAATCGCGCTCTCGCTCTGAAGATGCTCTCGGAGCAGTCGCCGTTTCCATTCCCCTGTTTCTGCCAGTCCCAGCAGCTCTGCTCTCCTCCCGCGCTGGCCATTGCGGGCAGGACTCGGGCCTTGCTTTAGCGCCCAAGGCGGGTGGCCAAGGGCCTTGTTTCCCCGTACACCTCATCCGTTTTTTGAAGCTTTCGGGGCTGTCGGCCTTAGCCGCGTCTGATCGCGAAGCCTGGGCTTTTGTGCCGCGTGCCGGGCTCCGGAGCAGCTCCCGTCCCCCTTCCCTGGGAGCGCGCTCTGCGCGGGATGCTGCTCGGCACGACC